GGTCCCTGCAGAGGAGCAGGGCCCTGGTGGGTGGTCCTCGGGCCCCTGAAGGAGCTGCCCCCACAGTGGACCTGGGGCCCTGCACTTACGTCCCTCTGCCGGCGAGAAGGCCTGCAAGATTGCAAACTCCGGCCGGAGGGGAAATGCAGCCGGAGCGGAGTCTGCGGGAAGACGCCTGCGCTAGGAGTCCTCCTCCCCCCCACCCTCACCCCCCACCCCGCTTCATGCATCAAGGGCTTAGCGGTGACCACACCGAGTAACAACTGATTACTCCCCGGTATTTTCCGCTAAACTGTGAACGCCCTGAGGGCAGCTTCTGCGCCTGCCCTGACCAGTGGCGTAGCATCCAGTCAGTGAATGAATGAATGAACGAATGAATGAATGAATGAAAAACAGGGAGAGAAAGGCAAAGAAGATTTGGCCGAAATTGGTTAAAGTCAGCGCTTCACTCCACCGGCTTGGAGGGGGAGGGTGCTCCTTGGCTACTGACTTCCACTGCAGCCAGGCTTCTGACGTGGGAGATGGAGGTTACAGAGCCTGCCTCGCTTGAGGTTCCTTATTCCCAACTGGCTCCTGCTTGCTCCGGTTTGAGCGCAGAGGAGGGAAGTAGTAAACCTGGGGAAGTCGTGAAATAATTTGCCACCGGGCACACTGCCTCAATACTGGATCATCTATCCTGTTTCATCTGCTTAGCACTGAGGTGGGTGTTTGCCCTGCAGGTAATACCTGAGGAGAGAGAATTAACATACTGTCTACAAAACAGAGACCAGGCCCGTGTCAAGCAGCTGCCACTAACTGTAAATCAGGGCAGGGTCAGGTGGCAGCAGGAGCTGGGAGGAGAGGGATGGGTGGCTGCCTTGACAACGGAGTAGCATATACACTGAGTGGCCAGATTATTATGACCACCCCATCAGTACTTCATTGACACTTCCAAAAATACTGAATATTGAAAACTTCCTAAGCAAATACTCTCAAGGTTTTATTATTGTTATTTGTATAACTGATTCACTTCATTGTACTGATGGGGTGGTCATAATAAACTGGCCACTCAGTGTAGAAGGTCCAGGGGTGGACTGGAGTTCATCTGCGAACCTCTCAGGAATTGTTTGCGAACGGCAACCACTGATGTGTTTTCTGTCTCTACCGTTTTGCCTTCTCCTGAATGTCATGTCAATGGAATGATACATTATGTAGCCTTTTGAGCTAGGCTTCTTTCACTTAACATAAGTAATTTGAGATTCACTCATTTTGTTCTATTTATCAGTTTATTCCTGTTTATTACTGAGTAGTGTTCCATGGTATGGGTGTACCATAGCTTGTTCATCCATGCCCACTTGAAGAACATTTCGGTTGTTTCCAGTTTGGGTGATTATAAGCCAAGCCGCTGTAAACACTCATGCATGGTCCATTGTGGGAACATATGTTTTCATTTCTCTTGGGAAAATAATTCTTAGGAGGAGTCCTGCTGGGTCATATGATAAGTATATGTCATTGACGTAACTGCCAAAATGTTTCCCAAGAGACTGTACCATTTTACCTTCCTGCCAGCAACATTCCAGTTACTCTGCCTCTTTGCCAGCACTTATATGCCAGATCTCTTTATTTCAACCATTTTAACATGTGGGCAATGGCCTGTTGTGGCTTTAATTTGGAATTCTCTAATGACTAACATTGAGCAGTCTTTCATATGCTTATCGGTCATCTGGATGTTTTCTCACTGATGGATCTAAAAGCCCTAGGAAGTTTTAGTAAATCCCTTGGGATTTTCTATGAGGACAATCATGTCATCTGCAAATAGGGACCGTTTTGGTTCTTCCCAACTGGTATGCCTTTTCTCTCTTTTTCTTGCTTTACTGTCCTTGGCAGGTCCTCCAGTGGGAACTCAAATAGGAGCAGTGAGAGCAGATATCCTTACACCAGTCTTAGGAGGACACCATTCATTTTTTAAAAATATATTTTATTGATTTTTTACAGAGAGGAAGGGAGAGGGATAGAGAGTTAGAAACATCGATGAGAGAGAAACATCAACCAGCTGCCTCCTGCACACCCCCCACTGGGCATGTGCCCGCAACCAAGGTACATGCCCTTGACCGGAATCGAACCTGGGACCCTTGAGTCCACAGGCTGACGATCCATCCACTGAGCCAAGCCGGCCAGGGCAGGAGGAAACCATTCATTCTTGCACCACTAGGTATGATGCTAGATCTCTTTGTAGATGCTGTGGCAGACGGCCTCTAAGATGGCCCTTAATGACCCTGCTTCTTGGTATTCATGCCCTCGTGTGCTCCTCTCCCTTTCAGTATAGACTTGACCTAGTGACTTGCTTCTAAGGAACGGAATATGTCAAAAGTAATGTAATATCACTTCTGAGGTTAGGTTACGAAGAGACTGTGACTTCCACCTTGAGTGCTCCCTTGGGCTCTCATTTCCTTGCTCTGAGGAAATATAGATGCCATGTTACGAGCTGCCTTATGGCCAGGAACCGAGGAAGCCAACAGCCAGGAAGAACTTAGCACTAGTCTAATATTCTGTGAGGAAATGAGTCCTCCCAACAACCATGTGAGTGAGCTTGGAAGCAGATCTCCCCCCTGCCCCACACCACCATTCCAGGGAGATTTCAGATAGACTTCGCCCCAGCTGACAAACACAAGTTCAGTCTCCTGGGAGGCCTTGAGCCAGAGGCACCTCCAGAAACGGTGAGAGGACAAATGTTTAATATTTATGCTTTGGGGTTATTTGTTATGCAGCAAATAGAACTAATCCAGAGGCCCTTTATTAGATTGGGAAACTTCTCTTTAATTCCAGTTTGCTGAGAGGTGTTTTTTAAATAATGAATTGATGTTGAGTTTTGTCAAATGCGTTTCTACATCTATTGAGATGATTGTATGATTTTTCTTCTTTATATTATACTAGAGGCCCGGTGCACAAAAATTTGTGCACTCGGGGGGCAGGGGAGGGGGGTCCCTCAGCCCGGCCTGTGCCCTCTCGCAGTCTGGGACCCCTCGGCAGATAACGACCTGCTGGCTTAGGCCTGCTCCCGGGTGGCAGAGGGCAGGCCCAATCCCTAGGTGCAGCCCCTGGTCAGGCTCAGAACAGGGCCAATTGGGGAGTTGGGGTGCCGCCCCGTCATGCACAGAGCAGGGCGGATCGGGAGGTTGCGATGCCACCCTCAGTCACGCTCAGGGTAGGGCCGATTGGGGGGTTGGGGCACCGCCCCGTCACACTCAAGGCAGGGTCGATGGGGAGGTTGCGGCGCCACCCC